CATGCAGTGCGGATGGTGGGGCCTTCTGGATAGAGGCAGAGGCAGAGGAAGTACCCATTTTCTGAACCTTAGCTCGAGTAACTAAGCTCCCACCAGAATTGTCCTTACCCTTGCGCTTGGTACCACCATTGTTTTTCTTCTTCAATAGCTCTACCTTAGCTTGGAGCATCTTAGGGTTAGGCTTCATTGTAGAAGACCCTGGGAGATTTGATTTGAGCTGGTTAGTCAAAAGGAAAAAGAAAGGGAGGAAAGGAATGAAACCAAATAAGGGAAAGAACATTACCTTCTACATCCTCAGGTCGGATAAAGGAAAGTGGGGTTGGAGCTTCTATCACTGTCTCAGGAGGACCGAATCACTGCCTTCCTAATTCCCAGGGCCTAATGAGCTCAGAGTACCTATCTGGATTACACTTAGCCAACTTCAGCTTCACCTGTTCGTCCTCGGTGTTGAGTTCAGGTCAAATGCCTAATAAAAAAAAAAGGGCAACACCAAAGATGTAGAGGTCAGGAAAGTAACTCATAAATCTTCATACCGCAGTTCAATCAGGCAAGAACTCACCTAAGTTATCTAGGCCTGTCTAGGCTCTGAGAATCCCAAGAGTGTCTGTTTTATCAGCAAGGTTGTATTCCTAGTTGACACCCTCAACGAAAAAGAAATTCTTTTTTCAGCCTTTATGAGAGCTCGGGAGGTGTGTGATGACCTGCCTAGACGAGGCCCGCTTAGAAATATATAAAAAGCCCTCAATTGAGGTAAGCTTGACATTGAAGAGGTCCGTAAGCAGAGAAATGGTGGGAGTCCCAAGCCCATGCTTCTTAAAGAAAACTAAAATGCCCACTAAAACACCCCAAATGTTGGGAGAAAGCTGAACATGATAGACATTGAAGTGCTGCAGAATATTTTTGATGAAGGGGTGCATAGGGAAACAAAGACCATTCTTGAAAGCGGCTACAAAGAAACAAACTCTTTTGTGCACTTGGGTAACGTATGAGGTGAGTTTATCCGGACCCCAGGGGGAAAACGAAAGCAAGCACTAAGAGCTTCCATAAAGGAAGGATCCATCGCACTGGGTCCCATGAGCTTGGCATGCCTCAAGGCAGCCCTTATACCCACTGCACTGTTAAAAATTTCTACCTCACTCACCTTGCCCTTACCCTTGTCAACATTAGGAGGTACATGAGAGGAAGATGAGGGGAGTTCCTTGGAGTCCACCTCGGTATCGATAGCCTCCACACTGAGGAAGTTGTCAATCTCATCGCCCACGTCCCCTAAATCAGAATCTCTCTCGGCAGACCTGTCACCTAGGAGGGAAACAGAGGAGGGAGTTGCTGTAGATGAGGCAGACATGATTGGCAAAGAGAAAGGTAAGTCGAAAGAATTATAAAAAGGAGGAATACTAATTAAACACCCCCTGATAATCCTAGGGTCAGTGCTGTACCTCCCAATAGTAAGAATTTGCACGGTGGAATTCCAATCCACAAAGCGGGGAAGAGGAGATAGGCAACGATCGCGATTCCAAAAGAAGAAGAACTGAAAACCCAGAAAAACAATGGCCACCTCGAAGTCGAGGGATCCAGAGTGAGGAAAGGCAAGAGAAAGAGAAAGGGGCAGAAGGAAGCGTACCTAGATAGGGAAGAGAGCAACAAACAACAACCAAAGAACAAAATTAGAGGAGAGAAGCAAAGTAGGACTTCAAGTCGAATCCAAAAAGCATAGTCTTGAGCAGAGAATAAGAGAATCGTGTGGAGAAAAGCCCAAAAATTGTAGAGAGAAAGAGCCAGAGATGAAGGTGAACAATGTAGAAGATGAACAGGGGATTTTGAGCAGTTTTTCGGGTAGCCGTTTGAGCATTTAAAGCTTGAATGACATGGGCTGAAACATACATGAGAATCGAGGAAACCATGATTGCTGTAAACCGTCAAAATGCCCCTCCCACGTGCATCCCACATGCGGACTAAGGTCAGCTAAGCGCAGGTCTAGTCCAAGGTGAAAGCAGCTCAGCCCATGCCCAAGCTCGCTTGGGCCAAGGGCTGGGGGCAACTGACGATACCTAAAGATAAATCCCAACTGCCAGCTCAGGAGGTCAGATCAGCCCAGGAGATCAGACTAGGTAAGCAGAACTCGGAAGAGTAGAGCTGGAGGTCCCCTCGAGATAAGAAATGACAATGACAACCAAGGCAACAGCTGGATAATCACGAGAGGTTCCTAAAGCGTTAGGAAGCTATAATCAAGGCGCCTAATCTCACCCAACCAAGATCTTCTTCTAAAATTAGGGAGAACCCCACAAAGTAAGGGCAAGAATCTCGGCCAGGATCCCACTTAGCAGGGAATGTCCCTATAAATGCAATGTAACACCTCCTAACAGGGAGGAGGAACCCGAGAAACAAAAAGGAGCCATTGTAACCTTGTAATGGCGATTATTGAAAGAAAAGATGTAAGAGCCTTCATTCCAGAGTGGACTAGTCAAGCTCCCAAGCTAATGAACCACTATATTTCTACTGTGTTAATTCTCCAACTCCCCAACAATTCCCTCGAGTCTAATAGCTTAGATCATAATAATTTCAATATTGTTTCTTTCATTTATTCATCATCACAAAAATGGTTTTATGTTGAAATACACCATCACCATTAATCACGTCCAAAATTTTGAGTCAAACTCTTGTAACACTCAATCTACAATAATAAGATAGTTATATTTTTGAATCTCTAAAGTTAATCTACTATAACTCATAATGCATAAAATAGGTTATGCACAATTAAACAGTCAAGTGTATTATACAAAACAATTAATGAGGCAATCAACAATGGAATAGAGATTGGGTAGTTGGGGCTGGGTGACCTAACTATTAAAGACGACAATGGAAACAGAAGAACATTATTAATGAGAGAATAAAGTAGCAGGTGAAGGGGAGAGAACAAAGGTAGGCTCAAGGTATGGTGTATGAGTGATAGTTGTGTGTGAGATGCCCCTCATGTGTAGAGGACTTTATAATTTATAACATAGTTTTAAAACCCGGCCCGGACGTCGATCCGATAAAGAGACCAGGTCAATGGGTTACTAGTTCAACCGTTGGGTCACTGGTCGAACCGGTTATATAATAAAAAAAATAAAAAATCAATATTAATAACAATAAATTTGCTAAAAAATTATAATAATTATTAAAATAGCATGTTTAATCTATATGGAGAGGTAAGGGAGACATAGGCAGGTAGAAGTGAAGGGCCTTTTGAAGAAGGTCCTCAGTGGCAAATGACTCTTTTTTGCAGCATTGTTTAATAGTTTTTGTAACTTCAATTCAGCAAGAATAGGACAATGGGTAGTTCTCAAATCCGTCTTTTTGGTTACAGGATTCTATAGAAGTGTAATATTTGCAGCTGCTGCTTTGTGTTTGTTGTATTTTATGGAAATACAGAATAATCTGATGTGTAGTTTGGAAGGAAGCGGAAGTCTTATGATCACATTCGTTTCAGGATTGCCCTTTATCTTGTATCCATCCATTTTTATTCCAAAAAAAATTAACCAAAAATCTAGAATGTGTCTAGGAATCAGATTGAATGCTCAAGATTCGTTAACAACAAGAAACAAAAAATGAAAATTAAATAGAAAACAACATAATGAAAAAATCAGATCTTAGGGGACATAGACATTCGAAGTTGAATCTGCTCAACTTCAAACAACACCACACCAAAGTAGGATTCATAACAGGTGGATAAAGAACAGGCAAAAAAAATCCAAATTATTCACTAAACAAAGTTCAATATCCCAAAAACAATTAACCCAAAAATCAGCAAATAAAAGCTACAATCACACCATCTGAGAGTGCAGACAGAGAGAGAAATAAAGAGATAGGAGCGGCGACGTACCTGCCAAGTGAAGGAGAAGGCATTGAAGCAAAATAATCAAAGCCTTCTTCTGTTCCTCGATTCAAGATTTAGTAACACAAGATGAATGAATGATTTGTAGGAGGTGGCTATGAGACAAACAACAAGATCGATTGGCTCTTAGATGCACAGAGAGAGGGAGAGAGAGAAACAAGTGAGTCTTAGATAAGAGAGTCGGTTGGGAGATGAGTATCAATTAGGGCTAAGGGCAAAAATTCTATTTTTATAGGATTTTAAAAGATCCAGGGGGTTTGATAAAAACCGTCTGGTTTGAATGATTTGTTTAAAAATCGCCCGGTTCAACGAGTTTTGGACGGGTTTTATACACGAACGATCTAACTCATGAACCGGCCCGGCTTAGGGTCCGATTCACCGGGTTTTCGAGTCAACCAGCCGGGCCAGATCGGGTTTTAAAATACTGATTTATAGGTATAGAGCTCTAGTTGAGGCGGTGACATGAAGGTCAAGTCACTAGTCTCTAGGGAGGATACTGATCATTGAGTAGGGGCTATCCTGATATTTTCTCCCCACATGTGTTGACCTCCTTGGGACTCTTGTAAGTTGGACTGGATTGAGGACTTGAATTGAGCTTGGCCAACCTTTCTAGCTAATTGGGCTTTAACCCACGGATCGAGTCTGGCCTAGTTAGATCTGGACTCATCATTTCCCCCTCATACCCCCAAGCTCTTATGTGACAAAAGGTTGAGAGCTCCCCCATTATGGCGGTCCAAGTATCTTACTCGACACAATATTCCTTATATCTCTCATAGCCTACTTTTTTACCATTGCTTGACGTCCATCTCATTTTTTGAGTTTCCTATTAGAATCCAAGAAATTCATTGGCATAAAAAGCCCTTTTCCCCCTTTTAGGGCATAACCTTAGGGTTTTTGAGGCTAGCATTTATAGAGCCCTTTTTACTCCTCCTTCCTTGTAAACTTTTTCCTTGAAAGTTAGAAACTTCCATTGAAGGTTGGGAGAGATTGAAGACAAGGAATTCCATGGACGGTGTTCTAAGAGTAAACTCATCAAGGGAGAGGAGAGGCATGACCTAAGGTAGTAGGGAAGGAGGTGATGGTGTCAAGGGATTAGGCCGCGAGGAGATCCAGATGTTTGACGATGATGTCGAAAGTAAATTATGCAGCACCAACATGTCAGACTAGGCATTGGGCGACACAAGGAAGCAATTGGGCAGTGACACCAAGGGTGACAGTGGAGGCGGGCCAGGAGTGCTGAGTGATGCTAGGGGCTTACCAGGAGCAGTATGCGCAGCGTCGGGCACTAGTCAAGTAGTGCCAACAAGCTGGGTGGTGATGGGTAAAGTCCAACAGGCGACGGGTGCGCGGGTGACGACATCTCCTTAAGTGAGGTGAGTCTATCTTTTGGCCTTTCCTTTGTATTTACTTGATACTGATATCTTCTTAATGTTGATTCTGATTTTGATAGGCACCCATTCCAACGAAGGCAATACTAGGAACAATACAATAGCTTCTCGGCAAGGCAAGAGGTACCGCTGACAGTGACGGTTCAAAGGTAACCTCTATGTTTAGCTCCATCGATTTGTGATGATGACATTACTCGCATTGTGTTGTCCTTTTATATTTCCCTCACTGTCCTATGCCATCGGGCAGAGGTTGACTAGCCGGTGTGCTTTGACTCTTCTAGGGAAATTGTCTTTTATGAGGATGTCCTAGAAGCAGGGTTGAGATTTCCTATATATGGGCCTATCTACTATAGTGGTTGATTCACGGCGAGGACGTTTCTCCCCCTTTTGAGGAGTTCTTAGCTCCATATGTGCTTTTGGATAATCCTACTTCGAATCAAGGGTGGTACCGCTTTGCCTTGAGGTCGATCAAGTTGATCATGGGATTACATTCGAATTACCACAACTTGAAGTCTAGGTTTTTCTTTGTTGGAGGTGAGTGGGCTTCCGAGGACCAAGCTAGGTAAGGGTTTTACCTTTTCTTTTATGTCTAACTATCATGTCCTTATATTCACTGTATGTTTGGTTTTTTTGGAGCTCCACCCATGTTATTTGGGGAGTAGGAGAGTAGGCTCTAGGTAGTGTGTGATCATCCTATCAAGTAGTTTGCGGCCCTTAAGTCCATGGCGGGTTATCCCAGAGCCTCCCTTAGGCAAAAGAGGAAAGGTATTTGTTCATTCCAATAAATGTTTATGATTGCAATACTATAGATTCTTTTTTCTTATACCAGTTCCATAAGTACCACTGTTGATAGAGCGATGGTTGAAGTTCTCTATGCTTCTAGGGTGACGTCTTCCCTTCCTCCCAAGAGGGTAAAGGTTGATGCCCCCCAGTGTCTCGCAGCGGTCCGATGGCCATGCTATATCCCCAAAGGCTGGATCAAAGGATGCCTCCACTCTTTCTCAGCACATGGCTCCTTCAAGTGTTGGGGTTTGTCCTACCACTACTTCGGGGGTTGAGACTCCTATCCAAGCCTTTGTAGGACAAGGGCTCCTCATAGTTGTCCAGCTTCTAGCAGTGGCTTAGTATGCATGTTGCAAGATGTGAATCTAGCCAAAGAACAGCTTTGGAGGTTTGTGACGACCACGGATATTAGAGAGGTCAGCTTTCGGGGTTTAGAAGGCATTATTGACACCGTGACAGAGGAGTTTGTAATGGTATAGCTTCCTCCTTTTTAGCTTTGATTTCTGTGCTTGTCTTTTCTTTTATGTTCTGCCTATTGAATGCTTGTAGGTGGCTGCTACTTTTTCATGCTTTTTTTTTTTAAGACAATCAAGTTTGGAGAGGCCTCAAGGGCTCTAGTAGAGGAGAGTCAAGCATAAGAGGCTGTTGAGGAGAAGTTGAGGCTAGCTCATGAGAGAGCTTCACCTCTTAAGGCTAAGCTTTTGGCATCCCATGAGTGGGTCACCAAGTTGGAGGCTGATAGGTAGGCTGCCTACGTGAGAGCAAAGACAGAGCTACATGCGTCCTACAAGAGGGCCGCTAGAGCTAAGGCCGAGCTACAGATAGCTCGAGAGAGGGTTGATGTGATAGAGGCTGACATGCGAGTGGCTCGTGAGAGAGCCACCAGGGCAGAGGCTCATTCCATTGAGATGGAAAAGGAGGAGGGAGGCTACTAAAAGGGCTATTGTAAGTGCTTTTATTGATGGTTATGAGGAGTTTAGGGGGAAGGCCTTAGCAGCTTTCTCTGTCATTGACTTTTCTAGTTTCGTCCCTTATGAGGCACCGGAGAATGATGGTGATGGAGAAACCTTTGATGAGAACAGATCAGGGAGCAGTGAATGATGTCGGGAATTTGAGGACTTTTATCTTTTTGTCTCTTTTTTTGTTGTTAGGTTATATTCTAACTTTTGTAAGTTGTTTACAAACTTCTATAAAATGAAATGTAATTCTAGACAAAATAACTCTTGCAAAGTTTTATATCATAATTTAAAGTAACAGATAACAAAAGGAATTGATTAACCAATGAAAGACAAATAAAATAAAAGTCACTGGCATATACCCCGCTATTGATAATACCTCTTTAGGTGTTCGGCGTTCCATGGATGGGACAAGGCTTTCGCTTTGGAGTTCTGAATTTTGTAGGTGCCTACTTTTATAACTTTTGTCACCATGTTGGGTCTTTCCCAATTAGGGTTTAACTTCCCTTTCCGAGAGTCCATGGTAGATAGGTTTTTAAGAACTAGGTTCCCAAGAAAGAAGGAGCGAGGCTTCACCCTCGAGTTGTAGTACTTGGTCATGTAGCGCTTGTACTCTGTATTCCTGAGCATTGTCATCTCCTTCTCCTTGTCTATCATGTCGAGGTTGATGTGGAGGCCTACTTCGTTAGTGGTAGGGTCATGGTTTTGGACCCTAAGGGAGTTTACTCTAATCTCGACTAGTGGAACTGCCTTTGTCCCATAGGCTAAGGAGAATGAGGTCTCACATGTAGGGCTTCTTAGCATTGTCTGGTAAGCCTATAGTACTCCTAGGAGGTCGTCCACCCATCTCCCTTTGGCACTTTCTAGCCTAGTGTTCAGGTTGTGGAGGATTATTTTGATGGTAACCTCCACATGCCTGTTCACCTGTGAATGGCCCCCTGCTGGAGTGGGGTTGCTTAATCTGTAGGTCTACACAAAAATAATTAAGGAGTTTGTTGTCAAACTGCTTAGCATTTATCACTTACTATTGCATGAGGCATTCCGAAACAAATATGCTTTTTCAGATGAAGTCTTTCACTTTTTGGTTCGTTATTCTGGCTAAGGACTGAACTTCTTCCCACTTTATGAAGTACTCAATGGCTACTATCATAAATTTTCACTAACTATAACTCATGGATAGGGGCCTAAGATGTCGATCCCCCATTTGGAGAAGGGCCATGGGCTCATGGTGGTGATGAGCTCTTCTGGTGGTTGTCTTGGCACTGTTATAAAATTTTGGCATCTTTGCAAATTCACGGGCGTCTTTAATCATGCTAGGCCAGTAGTATCCTTGTCTCCCTCCTAAGCGGTTCCCACATATTCCTTTATGGATTTCTCTCATACTATAATTGGATTCCTCGGGAGAGAGGCAGCGGAGTAGGGGCAGTGAGTAACTTTTCTTGTAAAGGGTGTTACGCAAGGTGACACACCTAAATGCTCTTATTCTCAACTTCTTGGCTTCTAATGGATTTTCTGGGACAGCGTCTTCGTCTAGGTATGCTTGGATATGTGTCATCCAATTGGCCTCGGAGGATGCACAGTTGACATTGTCCTTTCCCGCCTTGAGCCTGCTTGGCTCAAACTAGTGGCCTGTGAGTACGGGGCCCATTAGTATGTTTGTAGATGCAAGCTTGGCGAGTGCATCTGCCATGGCGTTCTCCACCCTAGGTACATGTTGAATTTTGGAAATGGTTGAACTTTTTCAACAAAGTTTGGACCACTGGCAGGTATTCTTGCATCTTTTCATCATTCACTTCAAAATCTCCCTTTACTTGGTTGACTATCAGTTGGGAATCACTATAAACCGTTAGGTAAAGGGCCTCTATCTCAATTGCGAGCTTCAAGCTTGCTATGAGAGCCTCTTATTCTACTTGGTTGTTTTGATGCCATAAAATGGAGGGAGATGGCATACTTGAGTGGAGTGCCATAGGGACTGTTCAGCACCAGTCTTGCACCACCGCCCTCGCTAGTGGAGGATCCATCTATGTACAATCTCCAGCATGCTACTACGCCAGTGGGGGATGTCTGCTTAGGCATGGCAGGGCACTCAAGCAAGAACGCAAAAGGCTACAGTATAGGCAACGAGGTTGACGAGGACTCTTGAGGAGTAGGTGCAAGGGAATTGGGCGCCTCTGGCCTAGGAGCCTGGACTCTAGGGGTCTAGAGGCCCAACTCCAAGGGCCTAGTTCTCTTGGGATGATGCTTGCGTTTACCTCATGGGGAGTTGTGGCATTGTGTGCTAGGCAGGTGAGCGTAGGGGCGTATGGCACTCCTTCCTTGGAATCTTTTTTTGGTGGCAGAAATTAGGCCACAAAGTCTGTAATTGCTTGCACTTTTTATGACCATCCTTGGTTGGTACTGCACATCGAACTCGCTCAACTCGATGACCCATTTGAGGAGTCGGCCAAACACATTTGGCTTTTCCAGGATTCCCTTGAGTGGTTGATCTATGATAATCGCGATGATGTAGCTCTGGAAATAGTGGCGTAGGTGCCTGGCGACGGTGACAAGTGCAACGGCCAACTTCTCCAATTCAGAGTATCTCACCTCTACTCCTCAATACACCCTTCTTACATAATACACAGGCCTTTGGACTCCTTCATCCTCCCTAACCAATACAGAGCTCACAGCTGAGGGCGAGGAGGAGAAGTAGAGATACAAGGTTTCTCCTGGTACAACATGGGGGAGTAAGGGGCGTAACAAGATAGGCCTTTAACTTTTAGAAGGCCTCCTCTACGTCCAATCCCCAGTAGAAAGACTTGTGAAGAATTTTAAAGAAGCTAGACATTTCTCTGCTGATTTTGAGACAAACCTGCTAAGGGCTGCTATCCTTCTATTAAGGTACTGGACCTCCTTCACAAAAGATAGGGATCTCATCTCAAGGATAGCCCTAATCTTGTCTGAATTAGCCTCAATGCCCCTTCTGTTAACCATGAAGCATAGGAACTTCCCTGTGCTAATGTCAAAGACGCATTTTTAAGGGTTTAGCTTCATCCGGTAAGTCCTCAGGACGCCAAAAGTCTCTTACAGGTGTGCTACATGGTCTGTCGTAGCCAAGCTCTTTACGAATATATTTTCCATCTAGACCTCCATGGTCTTCCCAATCTGTGCCTTAGAACGTCTTGTTCACAATGTGCTGGTATGTGGCTCTGGAATTTTTGAGTTCGAAAAACATGACCTTATA